GGGTTTAAGGGTTTAGGTTTTAGAGTTTAAGGGTTTAGGGATGACTTCTTGAAGGCAATGGAGTGTCTTGTAAATATGCACGCAATCAACTTTGAAGCACCAAGCAACCCTAAACCCTGAACCCTAACCCTCAGCCCTAAGCCCTAACCCTAAATCCTACCCACTAAACCCTAAACCCTAAATCCTCTGCCTGGGACCTCCATTAATTCTGGGGCTAGCAAAGCGTCAGGATGTCCACAGAGGAACCTCGGTCTCTCTCCAAAAATTTCAGGCGATGGAGAGTTTAGAGATTGGGGTTTAGAGATTTCGGGTTTTAGGGTTTGGGGTTCAGAGTTTGAAGGTTCAGGTTTTGGGGCTTAGGGTTTAGGGATTTAGCGTTTAGGGATTTAGGGTTTAGAGATATAGGGTTCAGGGCTTAGGGTTCAGGGTTCAGGGTCTGGGGTTCGGAGTGAAACCTCGTCTCTGTAGCCTACCCAACACCTGTAGTACAATTACTATTACCAAAGCCCCAGGTAGCTAATTGTTGCATACTTAGACCCTTCGAGATAGCTAGTACTTGTAAACTTTACAGAACAAAAAAAGGAACAATTTGTAGACTTGCAGCCTTAGGGTAGGGTACCAAACCCTAACCCTGAACCCTAAACCCTAAACCCTGAACCCTATACCCTAAACCATCGACTTTGACAGCCACGCAAGGGAGTTCGTAAACCTGGGCTTTGGCTTTAGGGCTTAGCTCCCAGATGGTGGGGTTTGGGGTTTAGTGTTATAGTCCCCCTGAAGTAGATAGAACTTGGGGTATATAGGGTTTAGGGTTTAGAGTTATATAGGGATTAGGGTTTAGGGTCAAAACGGGTCTATGTAGGGACGTAGTAACTACATGGACCTGGAGTTGCAACCCTACTTCTCCCAGGACACCCCACCAACTACCCTTGACAACGGGTCTGTGTAGGGACCTAGTAACTACATGGAAGTGGAGTTGCAGCCCTGCTTATGACTGGGGCTAAGCTATATCAGCCCAGTTAGGGAGATTATGAGTATGGTTGGGTTTAGGGTAATTCTTACCCTAAACCCTATAAACCCTAAAGCCTAAATCCTAAACCCTAAACTCTAGACTCTACACCCTAAATCCTACCCCTAAATCCTTCACCCTAAATCCTAAGCCCTGAATCCTAAACCTTAAGCCCCAAATCCTAAACCCAAAACCCTAAATCCTAAACCCTAAATCCTAAGCCCTAAATCCTAAACCCTCAAACTCTATGGTAGATACTGGGGAAAATCAAGGCGGGCTTCAGGGCTTTGGGTTTAGGGCTCCGGGTTGGCGCTTAGGGTTAAAGGTTCAGGGTTTAGATTTTAGGGTTTAAGGTTTAAGGTTTAGGGTTTAGGGTTGACGGCTTAAGGTTTAGGGTGTAGGGTCGAGGATTTAGGTTTAAAGTTTCAGGTTTAGGATTTCAGGTCTGGGGCATATGCTCTGGGGTTGACTGCTCAGTGCTTACGGATCCGGAATTGAAAAGGGCTGTTGAAAAGTCTTGGGCATTTCAGCGTTAGTTCTCCTGATGTTGCAATGAGAAGGATAATTTGACTTGTGACGCAGAGGCAACTAGGGTTTCGGGTTTAGGGCAACTCGCTCTAAGCCCGAAATAGTAATTGCTCCTAAGCCCTAAGCAGTACGATTCCTTGCGCTAGGATGTACAGTGCTATGGGGCTCCCACATGGCTCTCACCCATAGCCTGAACTCCTAAACCCTTAGTTCACCCCAAATCTGAGTGGTCCCTGTACGACCTGCCCCAAGGTTCCCAGGGACTCCCTGAAGCTCCAAACCATAAAAACTCTAGGACTCAACGCCCTTCAGGTTTGCCAGCTAGCCACTGCCATTGGAGGTGTTGCGGCCCGACACGGCTGCCACAAGGGTTTCAGCCACCTGCTCCAGAACGGGGTACAAGGTTTAGGGTCTAGGGTATAGGGTACGGGGAAGTATGTGGATTAGTTTTACTACTCGCGATCATCTTATTTTCATTACTGCTACCACTGTTACTACTATTACTACCTTCATCACTACATTTTGACGCGCATGAGGCTGAGGTAAGAAATATTACTATGACTAAGGGGTGCTAAGAAGGACTAGAGGGAAGTTGGCAGTGGATGCAGGAAATCTTGCACCACCTCATGCACGCTCTTCCTAGGACATATAGTGTATGGAGGCCCTAGGTGGTGGACGGTTTCCGCCATCTTCTTTGTGGATTAAAATCATTATTCTTACGATAATCGTTGCTATGCTTCTTACTACTGGAACTGGGTGTGTACTATTTCGCACTAGTTGTGCTCTTAACCTTCCTACTACTATGGGGGGTGTAGGGGTCATCCTATTGGCAACCATCTAGGCGCCTAAAAACCCATAACCACAGGATCCTTATGAGATTCAGAGCAGGCTTCCCACACCCATGCCTTCTCCTGACCTTTTCGTGCCGCACGATGCAAAGCCACATTGGACTCACCGTCCTGGGCAACTTAAGAAAAATCCATGGCAGGCGTGCGCTGATCTCGTATAGGGCCTGGAATTTAAGGTCTTGGGTTTAGAGCTTAGTCCAAGACGGTAGAAAAGAAGTGCGGGGATCTGTTCATAGAATTCCGACAGGTCTACTATCTGTAAAGGCACGACTGCACCGTTAGAAGCGTGCCCTATGAAACGATGGCAACCCAAACACTCCTTATAAACGTTCCTAGAAACGGACCGCGATAAACCTCTCAACTTTCTTGGAACAAAACTGCAGACCCATTTGAAAACCTACGACAACCCTTCTTGCGGTCCCTCCAACCAAAAACCAGCAAACACTGCATCGTAAGCTCCCCCGAACAGGCCCAGCGGCCAGTATACTGACGTCGGCATCGCATTCGACAAGGAGCTGAGTGATCCTCGAAGCTGGTCTGGTACAAGACTTCAGTTCAAAGCTAGACTAGAAGCATAGCAGTCATCGTCGTTGTTTCTTTTTCGCGCTGCAGTGAAATGTAGTGAGTTGTGGTGGTGGTGGTGGTGGTGGTGGTGGCGGCGGCGGCGGCGGCGGCGGCGGCGGTGGTTTAGTTCTTGCTGCTGCTGATGCTGCTGC